CTTAAAATTTCTCGAAAGTTTCTAGGATTACGCAAAAAAAATTTCGACAGGCATGAGCTTAACGTTTTTAACACACCCGTATCATCTAAAGAATCTGAAATATTACCTCCGAGTCAATTACATTTCAATGGAGGAAAAAGCGAAGGAAATGAGATAATAACATCAGGGGCAGAATATTACCTGCTACCGGTCATTTCGTGTATGCCCTTATCTAACGGGATTATGTTCTTTGGTATTAAAAAATGTTTTCATTTGTTCATCAAGACTGGGTAATAAAATGACTGAGACTAATCTGTGCTTTCTATTGGAGTATTCCTTATTTTGTGCTCGGCAGTTACGTAAACAAATAGGGACGGAAACAAATAGGGTTTACGCAAAGCTGCAGGGTTTTATTTTTCAAAACAAAAATTGAAGTGGGTACAGGATGTAAACACTTTTACTAGGGGTAAGGTTACTTCAGGATAGAGCGAAAATTGCGTGAACTGAAAGGATTACAGGAGGAGTGTGACCGCCGCCTGCAAAAGAGGCTCGTAGCGTCAAAAGTCTACCACCTCTACTTTTATCCCTGCCCTTGTCAGACTATGTTATAAAACTACTTTCAAGGACTTTACCTATCTTGCCGCTCCTTTCGTGTAAGTAAAATATGTGAACCCACCTAGATTAGCTAGCTACCTGTGGGCATGTCCAATTTGTTAAAATAGTCATTAGAAATTAGAACAAATAAAGGTTGTTGTTGTTGTTGAACAAAATAAGTAGGATAATTAATTTGAAGTGAAGGATTTGTTCCACTCAAGGAGAGACTTAAGACATTAATTTACTTAATTAAACAACACTTTCAAGCACTCTTAATCCGTCATGGTGGTCTTGTCTCATATTAACACTTTCTAGGCTTAATGGAATTAACGCAAAGCAACGGAAGATACCGCTACCTCTGATCTTAAAATTTATAAGCAATATAAGCGGATAAAAATGTTGTAGTGCTCGAAATTTTCGAAGGAGATTACCTGTAACTGAAATGGGAGNTGAAGAGCTGAGGAACACAAGTTACTTCTGCCTAACTACTGGCTGCTTATCATCAACAGGCCCCTTGGGAACTGAAGAGCTGAGGAACACAAGTTACTTCTGCCTAACTACTGGCTGCTTATCATCAACAGGCCCCTTGGGAACTGAAGAGCTGAGGAACACAAGTTACTTCTGCCTAACTACTGGCTGCTTATCATCAACAGGCCCCTTGGGAACTGAAGAGCTGAGGAACACAAGTTACTTCTGCCTAACTACTGGCTGCTTATCATCAACAGGCCCCTTGGGAACTGAAGAGCTGAGGAACACAAGTTACTTCTGCCTAACTACTGGCTGCTTATCATCAACAGGCCCCTTGGGAACTGAAGAGCTGAGGAACACAAGTTACTTCTGCCTAACTACTGGCTGCTTATCATCAACAGGCCCCTTGGGAACTGAAGAGCTGAGGAACACAAGTTACTTCTGCCTAACTACTGGCTGCTTATCATCAACAGGCCCCTTGGGAACTGAAGAGCTGAGGAACACAAGTTACTTCTGCCTAACTACTGGCTGCTTATCATCAACAGGCCCCTTGGGAACTGAAGAGCTGAGGAACACAAGTTACTTCTGCCTAACTACTGGCTGCTTATCATCAACAGGCCCCTTGGGAACTGAAGAGCTGAGGAACACAAGTTACTTCTGCCTAACTACTGGCTGCTTATCATCAACAGGCCCCTTGGGAACTGAAGAGCTGAGGAACACAAGTTACTTCTGCCTAACTACTGGCTGCTTATCATCAACAGGCCCCTTGGGAACTGAAGAGCTGAGGAACACAAGTTACTTCTGCCTAACTACTGGCTGCTTATCATCAACAGGCCCCTTGGGAACTGAAGAGCTGAGGAACACAAGTTACTTCTGCCTAACTACTGGCTGCTTATCATCAACAGGCCCCTTGGGAACTGAAGAGCTGAGGAACACAAGTTACTTCTGCCTAACTACTGGCTGCTTATCATCAACAGGCCCCTTGGGAACTGAAGAGCTGAGGAACACAAGTTACTTCTGCCTAACTACTGGCTGCTTATCATCAACAGGCCCCTTGGGAACTGAAGAGCTGAGGAACACAAGTTACTTCTGCCTAACTACTGGCTGCTTATCATCAACAGGCCCCTTGGGAACTGAAGAGCTGAGGAACACAAGTTACTTCTGCCTAACTACTGGCTGCTTATCATCAACAGGCCCCTTGGGAACTGAAGAGCTGAGGAACACAAGTTACTTCTGCCTAACTACTGGCTGCTTATCATCAACAGGCTCCTTGGGAACTGAAGAGCTAAGGAACACAAGTTCCTTCTGCCTAACTACTGGCTGCTTATCATCAACAGGCCCCTTGGGAACTGAAACTTCATAGGATAAATCAACTCAACAACATGGTAAGACAACTTCCAAGGGTTAGTTTGTCATTTCCTGTACAATTTTTTTTTCATTTCATTTCATGACTGGGGTCATTATATTCCACTACTTTTTTTCTGATTAAAATTACTCATCTCGTTCATAAAGTTATAAAGTTTTATACAACAACATAGTATCTAGCCTTGTTTCATACTTCAAAATGACATTTTGTTTCGCTGTTTCTTTCTAGCAATTCTCTTTCTCATGCTCACCTCATCAAGTAATTTTCTTATCAAATTCTAGCTTAGTGAGTAATCAAGAAGATAAAAGCCCTCAAACACACTGAGTAGCTAGATCTTGGTTGGAGAAGGGATTTGATACAACCTCAGTTGGCAGGTGAAGGTGTGAACAATGATCCTTCATACACATGTACACCAGTGTGATCTGTTGTTGAAATTTTAATGACATTTTCTACCTGTCTCTGTTCAACTAGACAAATACAAATATCTAGTGACAAAAATCCACTTTGTAGTATCATTTCTATTTAAAAGAGACATCCTATGCTTAAACCATCTGAAGAAATTGTTCATTCTTCCTTTCCACCTTCCTTACTAAAGTATGCTGAGTTTTTGACACTTGAACCAGGCTACCTGCACTTTTCACTTTGACCAGCTCCCATTTGAGATCTCATGTCGCTGATAAAATGCTTGAACAGTAATAAGTTAGAGATAAAACTGCCAAAAAAGCCTGAAGTATGCTGTTGGCATGCTTTGAAATCCAGTTGTATATTATTTCCTTAATTTAGAACTCTAAAAATAGAAAAGGAGAAAAGCAAATTTAGAGGTCATAAAAAAAAAAAAAAAAAATAGATAGAATCATATCGATTGTGATAACAACACAGGCTGGGGCCACTTCAGCCAGAAGTCACTCGTTTTCTCTCAAGGACACCAAAATGCATATAAACAGTTTGCACATCTATGCCAACTGACTCCACTTCAACTCTGTGACTGAAAGCAATAATTGCTTGCAATCTCTCATAAAATCATATTCCATTGGAACATACAGGTATACATGCAAAGGAAATACTCTATCCGCTTAAAAAAATATTATTAAAACAGTTTAAGAAATATAGCCATAAAAGGTTAAAGATAACTTACAACCTGGCCACTGGTGCTTTTTATCACAGAGTGGGACATAGATGACACCCATCAGATTCTTCTTCATAATCTGGCCATTCTCAAGTTTATCATGCTGCTCGAGAACCTGATTCCGACCTTCTGCTCCCACAGGACAAATAAGACGGCCGCCTGGTTTAAGTTGTTCTAGAAGCTTGGGGTAAAAAAAAATGTATGTACAAGTTTTTGCAGTAACATTCATTCTGAAGATAACTAAATTTGTTTTCTACACATCTTTCGCAAACTTAACCTCCAGGGTTTACAGTGAACACAAAGGCTAGTGTCCATGTATTCTGACTAGCCAATTCTATGTAGAAAATTTACATGAATGCCTCTGATTGCTGCTGTAATTTTTATTTGTAAGAATGCACAGGCAATTACAAAATACAAATGACAAGTAGTCAATTGTGAGATTTTGCCCTAATAAATGTAGGAATGCAATCAGACAAAGCATTCAATTCCTCCCTGAAAATCACTGTACCAGCAGCCATGGCTAAATACAAGCTACCTTCAAGCAACCAGAGTCCTTTTAAGACTAACCTTGTTAGCGGTGTATTTTAAAAATATCTTTTCCAAAGGCAAGTGTGAATTGGTAACTTTTATATTAAAAACAGTTCATAACAACACTATGGTACAACACAAGCAGTTAGGTTAAGTGTTGACTCTTTCACTCCCAGATCTGATGAGTAATTCTCCTAACTGTCTGCCATATGACTTTTAAGATGTTACTTTGGAAAATTTGGTATTGGATCAAATGAAAACTGCTTGTTGATATTTTTCTTTATTCTCATTACTTGTCTGCTTGATATTGTATTGATATTGTAAGGAGAAATTCTGTCTTGGTCACTCATGGGAGTTTAAAAGGTTAAGTAGGCTGAATGTGGTTCACAAATCACATATCCACATTTTCATATGAAGAGTTCATGTCAAACTGTATTAAAGTGTTAAGTCTACTCACAGCTGAAGGTAAATCTGCTGCAGCTGCCCCTACATGGATTGCATCATAGGGTTGCCCAGGTTCATAACCTTTGCGCCCATCGCCAGCTATAGTAAATGTAACAAATGGAATTTTCAATTGAAAATAACATGTAGCTGCCTGTAACTAGTGATTTTGACAAACACATTCTCTACACTTATGCAGGAAAATGAAACACTTACAGACAATTTTGACTCTGCCCTTTTCAAGAAGTTCCGGGTTCCCTCTTTTGATATTAGCCAAAGAGTCTTTCACAAGCTGATCGATATGATCAATTCCATAAACCTTTCCAGTTTCTCCAACCTGAAGCGTCAAAGGATCAAGGGCCACTAGTTTCTCAGAAGAATTACTGCTTTGATACTCTTGGTAAAATAAAGTTGATTTAATCATTAAAGGATAACAAAGAATGAGGTTTGACAAAGGGCTAATGCCGACATGTCAGCTTTAGCACCTCTTTACCATGTGGCAATTTACATTATTTCATATTAAATCAACTCTGTCGTAAGACCAAATTATCTTGTTATATCTTTTGCCAATGTACTACCACAGTCACAGCTGTAGAGTGTTGATATAATAATGATGTTGATACTGAATTTTTAGCAATTAGATGAACATGTACATGTCATTATTAAAAACTGGAACATTGGATAATGCAATTCAAGACTTTTTATTGGCTTAGCCATTATGGTATATCAGCCAATATACCATAATCTACGAATATGGTATTGCGTACGCATCAGCTTAAAATCAAAAGGGAGCTAAAAAATCCGGTTTCTTCTTACAAAATAATTTCTTGGGGGCATTTTTAATAAAACAATTATTCCACTCGCGCTTGTTGGATATTAGATTATAGCTCACTCGGCACTATGCGCGTCATTGGCTATCTATCATCTCATATCCAACCCGCACTCGTGGAAAAATTGTTAATTTCTAGTCAGTATTCACCATATAAGCCATGGCAGCTGTGAGATAGCCACTCCCCGAACCAACATCTAAAGCACAAGCACCCTCTGTAAGATGACCCTCAAGTTGCTGTAGCGCATACACATGCTGCAACAAAATTACTAATTTATTAAGTAGAAATATTGGTTATGGAATCTAGCTGCAGATTTTTGTCAGTTTTTTTTTAACAACACTGGACACCTAAGAACTGGCAATCTGATTTGATAATCAAGACCATCTATCGAAGAAATTTCCAATCACTGTTCCCGTACATTTCTATTATTTCACTCTATTTCCCTTCATCACTTTTACAGAATTCAAAGGAAGTGAAGTTTGAAACAAGGCCATGACAGTTGCTGATCATTTTGGAATATTTTGTTAACATTGTAGACAAAACTGGGCTTCATGATATTATGCTTACTGATATATTAAACTGTAAGCATGTTTGAGCAAGAAAAAAAACCCTCAGTTAATGGAACACGACAGTTAATAGTTCAATTAATCAGCCCTACATTAGTGTTTAAGTTCAGGTGGCTGATAGCTGATCTCAAATTTAGTTGGAGTTTTGAAATTAAGCACTGTTTGAGTGTTAAAGTCTGGTATGCTTTGTTGATAAAGACTCACAAGGTTACAGGGTTGTAGCTAAGAAATTACACTACTGGCTGAAATTTCAAGTGATGTGGCATAAGGTGGTGAAGGATTGTAATTCTTGCTTACCGGCCAAAAATCCAGCTGGGGATTGCCAAATTTTCCTCCAGCAAAGTTTCCCAGCAACCACTGGGCTTACCGACAACCCTGAGGCTACATCACCTGACCAAGATCTGATTGTCAATTCTCCCCTTTAACTGCTTCACATTTCCTAATAAATTAGTCATGTGAATTTGGTATTAGATCAAGATAACACCATCCACCAGATAGGTTTGAATATTCTCATTACATCATTGCTGAAAAATGTATGAGATATAAGAGGGAGAAGTTCCAAGTTAATCACTTCTAGGAATTCAAAGGTTAAAAGGTGGATGGGTTACCATAATCTGAATTGTTGTTGTGTTCTGCTATGCATGCAGAGTGTGCTGTAGGTTCTGGTCAAAACTATTTTATTCACAGGCTATTTACCATGTGTGGTGCACTGATTGTTGCTTGATAACCTAAAAAAGGTGAGAAAAAAAGATTTATTCAGTCAACATTAAAGTTTTTATTTCCTGATGATCGAGGAATTTGCCAGGATCCAGCCCCTATTAGGTGCGTGTGTGCTTGTTTATCTATTTTGAGGTAGTTACTTTGGACCTCTCGCAGTTTCCTAGACACTATAGTTCTCTTTCTCTCTAGGTGTATCAAATGAATGCATTTCTGCAAACTTCCTAAAAAATCTATCAAACTGCTCACGTCAAACACGAACATAAACAAATGGTTTCCCCCAGGTTTCATTTTAATTTCTATTCTATGTTTGCGTGCTTACAGATGCATTGAATTCACAAACACATTTCTTTCCAGTCGATAAACATGGTATGTAAATCATACAAACCTATCGGTTGTGGAGAATCCTCAAATGCTCGATTTCGACAGTAATGTTTTCTATCAACTCGTCGGAGAGCCTCTTCGACTCTTTTGCTTTTCAACACTTCATGGACTAAAATCAAGGCAAGAAAAACAGTTAAATACGACACCATGCAAGACAAATCATTTTCTTCCATACTTTTCAGCTGATCGAGGAGGTCACTATTGCTTTCCCCGTGCGATCTCCACGCCATGTTTCTCAAAATTTGATGTTTACTTCTTGAAACACCCATCCGCCATGACAGTTGAACAGAGCTGCGCACAAATAATTGGTTTGGACTGCTGACATGCGTGACGCCGTTAAGTCGGTCAACAACATGGTCGATGAAGTGAACAGCGCGGAGATTTAGGTGGTTGAAATAATTCATATACACAGCATCTAAAGAAAATATTTAAATGGAATTATCGGCATTCCGCTAAGAGCTCTTTAATGCGTCTTGCTTCTATTACCATTTGAAAGTAAAATACAAGTTTTTTCGCTATCTTCTTCCCAGACCTTCTATTTTTGCTGAGGTTAGAATGAGTCTGCTCGCACATTGGAGAAGATGTTTTGCTTTAAGAGCTAGAGGAAACATCCATTCCATGGTCTGTGGGAAAGGTAAGGCTTAATTTACAACAGGGGTTAGCAAAATGAAAAAAACATTTTCTAGGCTTGAGCTGGTGACGTGACACAGTGACACCAATGATTTGCAGAGCTGGACGAAATACTGGGCGGGTTTTGAAATTATTTTTGACATTTTACGTTGGAAACTTGTGGTCATTGGTCTATACTGGGAAATGGCTGTTACGCGACTCAGTGACCTAGCATAAGTTTAGTACCTATCAATGTTAAGCCCAAGGGGGAAGGGGGGACCCCAGGAATTTTACGTTTAAGGTCAATGTTTGGTGACCTTCCTTGGGCCTGAAAATTAGGTGAAGTTTCCTCACCTCAGCGAAGCAATATCCCTGAAAGCAAAAGAATAGTTGAGATTAATTCATGAATGAGAGATAAAAATTGTTAGGTTTTGAGACTTTTCCTGTGTCTTTCAAGATTGCTGCATAGAGTGCATGTGAAGCTGTGATTTAGCCCCACAGCCTCTTGCAAGAAATCAAACATCCATATCCTGGGGCCCAGCTAGGAAAGGAAATGGTTTTAGGGGCCAAATTCCTCGCATATGACTGTGGTTCTCCCATCCTTCAGCTTTATATCAATAGGGGCACTGGGTGAAACTTGAGTCAGTTCAGGACCCAACATGTTGAAGAATATTTTCAGCTTTTGCCATGTAGTTGATCCTAGCTCTGCACAGGACATGTGTCATACATATATGAACTTTGCCCAGGGGACTTCCCAGTTAACTCTTTTGTAGCTCAGTAGTAAGGGCATCCAACTTGGGTGACTATCTGGTGGTCACTAGAATCTTTTGTGGTCCCGTCAGATGGTCTTTGCCTAATGTTCTCGACAACTGACATCAACACCTTAATCAAGTATATAAATTGCATACATTATATTTCATTATAGCCATCATTTTTACAATATCACAATCTCCATTGAGAAAAGTCAATTGCTTTAATTGGCAGTCCCTATACTTTTCAAGCACCATCAGTCACTTCCAATATATTTGCAGGAAAAAAAAACTGTGCACAGAGCCTTTATATGTACTCTGAAGTGAGGATGCTGTAACAGAGGCTGCCTAAATAAGTGCAGTCTTTCATCAGTGTAGAAATTGAGTTTCTTACAAAAAAATTAATACTCTTGAATTTTTTTAGTTTTTGAATGATTTGTTTAAATTTTATGGGAGAGACTATGATTCAATGAGTTTTTTTCAGAAAAAGGTTGCCTCTTTCTATAAGCCAACTTTGCTCTCGACTGACAAATGATTTAAAACTTTTTGACAGGGTAAACTTAAGCAAATCAAAGAAGTAAAATAACAACAACAAAGACATTATTGAAGCTCTACCTATGTTTTTACATCAAGAAGTGAAAACCTACAGATAATATCAAATTAAAAGCTACAGTAGAATCCCCATTTCTTTTAAAAGCCCTCAGTTTTCTTGAAACTTACAAAGTAAACTAGTGAACAAAGAATACTAAAGCCAAAAAAAAAAAAAAAAACCAATAAATGTCTTTCCACATTCTCTCTGCAGACCTTTTCTTTCAGCCAAGGATACTCGGAACTTTCTATCCTATTGTCAACGTGGTTTTTTTCCTTTACAACAATTTGTTCTGAAATCCCTACCTCGTACCTCCTTTGCATTAGAACCATGGCTGTCGTACATTTATTTGTGTTTGTAGCACATTTTTTGGTCCACTCTGTAGAAGGTATACAATTTAGTTAAGAAGGACGAAAAAGCTTTTGTTAAAGCTAAATCGTATTAGTGGTTTGTTTTTCAGCAGGTTTGATCACATTGCGATGTTTTGGAGACATGTCTGATCAATCATACTGGAACAACTTTTATTCCAGTTGTCAAGGTAACAAACACTTTGACTGGTTTGTGCGTTTTGAAGATGCCATTGAATATATTGAGCCGTACCTCCCCCCTGTCAGTAACAGTTTTGTCACAAGAATTTTGGAGATTGGTTGCGGAACCTCAGAGTTCAGTTTAAAGCTCTTTGAACACTTCAATCGTAACTGTCGCATTGATTGCATCGACTTTTCACTCGAAGCGATAAAATTTTTGAGAAAAAACATCCAAGAACGTGGGTTAGTTGCAAAGGAGATTGTCGAGACAGAGAGAAAACTGGAATATAGTCTTGATTTGACTGGCCTGGCTTGTCATCAAGCTGATGCAAAGAACATGCCTTTTGCAGATGAAACATTTTCTCTTGCTCTTGATAAGGGTACTTCCGATGCAGTTCTAAAAGGACCAAAAGGAGATGTCGCATTTGCAGACGTGTTACATGAGTGTTTGCGTGTCTTGAAACCTCGTGGAAAGCTGATTCAGTTCTCTGATGAACCACCGGAGTTGCGTTTGGGCGCTTTGGAAAAAGTAACAAATGACTTTGTTCAGACGTACTCTACAGGGCTTAATTCTTCGAAGCTACGTTTGTCCTGGCGTGAACTTAGCACACAGTCAATTTTTCAGCATTATTTGTATGTCGTCCACAAAGAGGGTGTAGGCGAGCATCGATAAATTTCAAGTTTTAGAGCAGTGTTGGATTGAGTGTCGACAGTAATCCATTATTGCTTTGGCTTAGCACTTTGATTGTTACAGAAAACTCGCACCACCATCTCCAGTCAGATTCAAAACTAAATTAAACCAACTGTGCTTGGTCACTTGTCTTTTCCCGCCTTTCATGCAGTTAGCCTGTTTTACTTTTATCGTCCTTTACGAACGGTGATGTTGAACTTTGCTCCCATTGGCTCAAGGGTTTTGGTAACTTTGGTTTTGATTTTTCGAAACTCAACTGAAAACTGCGCTAATCGTTAATCCATTCATTGAGTCCCCAATTGGCACAGAGGTACTAGATACATGGAAAACGAATTGAAATTTCTATTTTGTTTTACCTCTATTACGATCGGAGGCCTCCGGCTGAAGCCATGAAGTGTTTCGTCCAGGTCAAATCATCAGTGTCACAAACAGTGTGTCACGTTACCAGGTCGAGCCAAGAAATTTTTTCGTTGTGTTTACCTTTTAATAAATTAAGCCTCACCTTTCCCAAAGCCCTTCGAATGAATGTTTTCTCCACCTCTTAACTGAAAAAAAAAAAAAACATCTTTAATGTGCGCCTGTTTGATTACCATGTAACAGTCCGACTGGAAAGCATGAGGAAACATTACTTTGTACAGATCAAGCATTACGCCCACGCTGTAGGTCGGCCGCAAAGGTTCCGTTCGAACCCTGAGTTCTTGTCTCATGAATAAAGAGTGCACTTTATTCGACGTGACGATTGGATCAACCCATATTTAGGAGGTCTTGTTAGCAACTTGTACAACGATCAGTATGACCACGTGAACAGTGCACAGATTGCACGTGCTTCCTGTGTGCATAGGTAAACATCCTTCAGGTTCAAACGAAATTGTAACCAAATTGTTTGCTTGACTTTTACAGGCTAAATGAAGAACTTTTTATGTTTTAAAAAAATTATGAAGTGTAGTGTAGAGCCTCTACCAATCCCTCCAGACATCTACTTTGAAGTAGTTAACCTTAGTTATAACCAATGCTTTCCTCACCAACTGGCAACATGTGAGACCGTGTTCGCTGGAGAGTTTTCGTTTTGAATTTCGTGGACAATTAGTGTTTTGCGAACAAGGATTCAGGGCATGTTCCCTTGAACTTGGTGAAAAGGAAGAATTTTGATTTCGGCTAAGGGGATATAGATCTCAATCCTGATAATGTTCATATGGTAAATTTTTACCTTGAGTATATCGTGATCAACAAGTCGAAAGTTTCAAGGTTCATCTCGGCAACCAAAAGTGAATTTTCTTATGGGAATATTACCCGCTCCATTACTGAGATCTCGATCCCTCAAGGTTATAACGAAGCTAACAATGTTGAATAAAGAATGGGGTCTTGAGATTTCTCAGACACTGCCTGTGTTGTTGATCTTGGCCCTTACAATTGAGCAAAGCCTCTACACAGAGCCAAACCTTTAACATTCTGGCAAATACTAGTTCAAGCTAGCCATGTTCTCCCTGTTCTTTTTGAGACCTGATGACTGTCCGTATCAATCGGTTAAAAAAAGATTTTCAGATGGCTTTGTTTAGTTAAAATCCATGTTAGAAAAAAAAAATTACGAGGAGTTTTGAAAAATTTCAGTGGCCAAACTAATATTGATCTTTGAGTTTTACAAGAGAAAAAATTAAGAAAGTAAATGTGAAGAGGATAAGATTAAAGGCCAAAAATTTGGAAATGTGGCTCACACGATTTAAAGGAAAAAAACAAGTTTGCTAAACCTTTCGCACAGGCGCACACTTTGTTGCGATCGTGATGTACGCTTTGAAGTTTCTTCTCAGACATCTAGTGAGAAAATAGTTTTAACAATCAGCAGAAATTTTCAAAAATTCATTTTAGATCTCCTTAATGCCTATTTCGAGTCTTCTTCTTAAGTCTGATTAGCGAAATAAATTATTCTATAATTATTTAATCGAGGTTTTGAAGTCTAGGTGAAGAAGGAGGAAATCTTACACAATCAGTGGCTTCCAGATTACATTCTTTACGAACACAATGTTCAAATCTCTACGGTTACCGTTCATTTTATGATTTTTCTGATGTCTTTGAGCCAAGGTGTCGAAGATTGCTGGTCACCATGACTAGGAAAATATCTTTGAAACCATCTATTGATCACACCCAAAACCTCATTGGTGGATCCAATTAGCATGAGGAGTTAAATTTACTTTAGCCAAAATCGTCAACACCATTACAGGCCGTACTATTTCAGTCCCCCAAACTAGGCCTGAGGAAACTAAAACTTAAAAGCCTGAAAAAAGATAAAGGAAAGAATATTTCTTACTCGAGGGGGAACGACAAAAAAAGAAAACATATCTAGTATAGAATGCGTGAAAGAACGCGATTCCGCCCAGTGACTTCCTTCACATTCTTAGCTTTATTTCTCGCGGTTGGACTTGCGGATGGATTGAGGTAAAGGTGTTTGTGTTCCAAAAAAGGAGGTTGGCTTATTTTTAAACCAAAATTACCAGGGAGAGTTCGAGAGAATTACAGCTAGTTAAAACGGTGGGACATGTCAGAGTTCTCTTGAGAAGATGATGTCAGAAAAGAGAAGCGAGCGAAATGAAGTTAATTTACTCTGAGAACCAGAAAGAGACAACTCAGAATTGGCAGTTGTAAATGAAACATATCATATGTAATCCTTAAAATCCAATTGGAAAAAATCTCTTTGGTGGCTGCAAATTTTTTCCAGTGAAAATACTTTTAGTTTTGGCACTAACCGCCATTAGTTTTAATCTCAGAAAAAAAATTCGAGTTTTTACCTAAAATTTTCAGGTTATGCGTCCCGACTAATATATTGCGACTAAGAGGTTTTTCTCGTCGTGTTTTTTATTCGTTGAATACCGAAATATTTTTGAGAAGTAATTGGCAAGATCATAAAAAGAGGGTTAAACATTTTATCTTTTAGTTTGCCTCTTTAGTGGTTCTCTTCATATTTGTACAGAGAAAGATTGCGCACTGAAACATCGCGTCAACGAATTAATGAACTGGTTTTTTGTTTTCTTCATCAATACGCTGGAAAATAAAAGCTTTTTGAAAAGGAACAAGCGAAATAATTATGGTGAATTACCTAAAACATAATGAAATATTTCTCTTCTATTATTTGTGCCCAAATTGCTCACTTTTGTCACAAAACGTGGGGTATCCATGTAGTTTGGCATTCTGCATTTTTTAAACCCTCTTTTCCTCAGTAAGAAAAGATACACTTAGTTATGTAAAAATAATGAACGAAATTTCTCTTTACTTTACAGAGATGATTTGCCACAAACTTATGAAGCCGAGGTAGACAATCTTGCCGCCTTGGAAAGAAATCAGAGATCTTTCCGTTGTAAGTTCCCCCCTTCACTTTCTTTATCTTCTCATGAACCAATTTTTCTATTTTTAAGAACCTTTAACTTTGTGTAATACAACTGTAGAATCATCCTTGCGAGGGTTTTCTCTTGTCAGCGGTTCTTTGATTTAGAGATGCAACATTTCCACTCCTTTAAGCAAATTTATCGCAAAAAATGGCGCATTTATCAGTGAAAATTGCATGAAATAAAAGGGAATTCATCTTTGTCGAACCATTTGGAAACCGCAGTTTGTAGCAGATTTTTTTCCCTTTCATTATTTTCAATATTTCCAAGAAAGAAGTTTTGTAAGAAGAAAATTTAACTGAATTACAGAAAAATTTACAAAGATTGGCTTCTTTGATTTTCCTAAAACCATGTTTTGAATGTTTATCCTTGTGATTTTTGATGAAGGACTCAACGCTTAAAATGTCTCGAAAATGGGTTTAGAGGGACATTAAGGCATCGATTTTAATAGCAGTTTTTTAATAGGGTCATCTTTCTTGAGATGAATTTCGCAAATACGAATATCTACTTTTCAGGAGCAAGTCCCACGATTGCTTTTATTTTTTACCAATTCTAGAGTCAAATATTCCCCGAATTAAACTATTTTACTTGAAATATATACTGTTCTAAAATCGCGGTTGATTTTCGATGGGTTATGTTGGAAAGATAAACGAAATCGTAAAGATGGAAAATTAAATTTTTTCTTTTGTGGTAACGCGAGCGTAGCAACCAAAGTCTACTTGGTTGCTACTGGTTTGTTCACGTCAGAAATTTGTGCTATGTTACTGTAAAACAAATTTTCCAGGCGACGAGAATTTTCCCGAATAACGTTCATTTTTAATCAAAATGACTTAAGGAGGCTGTTGGATTAATTCGAAAATAGAAGTCGACAATTTAGTTGAAGTTCGCTTCTGTGAAAGTTCTGTTGAAATTCACTTCTGTGTAAACAAAGCTAAAATAATAATCTCTTTAAAGGTAATCATGAAACTATTTTGAGAGAAACTGAAGAAAAGCATGGCGTCAATACTCCTCCCTGAATCTCACGCTTTTTCGGGAATAAACTCTAATTTTATCTACGCCACAAATCTTTCACCCCTCCCTGTAAGATTCGACGAGATCCGTCATCACTTTACCTGCGTAAATTCAAATGTAACATTCCATTTCCAGTAGAGCTAATGGTATCAAAATTGCCTCGCAGATGACGTATATGGCCCGGGAAGAAGGTCAAGCCACCAGAATGACGACAGCAACCTTTGCATTCCAATGTGCGCCAACAGCGGAACCTGCGTTAACAGAACGTGCATCTGTTCCGTTGGGTGGCGGGGAAGAAGTTGCAGAGAGGGTGGGTTTGAATAAGGAGCTTTGTAAAGGTAGTTCATTCTAATTAAGTGTGCAAATCTCAAAAGTGCTATGGCGTCAAAAGTCCTATTCACATCTCGTGAAGTTACCGCCAGAGTAGAGAAGTATGAACGATTATATGTTAACTTTTAAATGCTCACTTGCGATTAGCAATGTCGAAAGTCAAAAATGAAAGACAGATGGTATATTTTTTTATTGTTTCAGAGGTCTGCTCGCCTGGGTGCTTGAACGGTGGTACCTGTGAAAATGGAAAGTGCAAATGCCCTTCAGGCTGGGAAGGAGACCGCTGTCAAAATAGTGAGTAAGATATATTTTAAGAGCTTTAAGACACCGGTATTTCCAGGTGTGAACAAGAGGATATTTCTCCTCAGTATCAACTGATTACATTGTCAAACTGTCAGGGGATTAAAATCTACAAAGATACCAGCCACGAGAAATTTTTGACCACCAGATTCCCAAAACTAACATTTTAGAAGAAGCGTATGACAGAAATGAGGAGAATACTGCGACTTTAAGCTGTGATTAACGTCAGAACGACTTGCCTTTTCAGGAAGGTAACCTTTAGAACAGTTTCCTTTTGTAGACAGACTCAGTGAAACTCGCGCTCAGGTTAAAATTTTGGTGTTGCCTTAAGGGTTCGTCTGTACAAAGTTATCAAATAGCTTTAGTTTTCCTTGGGCGTGTTATAATGGACTTGCGTTCCATCCAGGTAGAGTGAATACACGAGTGGCTTCAAACTACAGAACCCTGTGAGCAAGTTTTGCTTCCATCTTACTTCTAACCTTACAGGTCGTGATAGTTTATGCTTTTCTCCCATCAAATTCTCGTTAAAATGCATTTTAATTATTTTAACATCGTAAAGGTTAGTTAAAATCCCTCTATTAAGATTCAGTATAAAATTTCTTTTCGCAGTTGCGTGTACGAAAGACTGTGCGAATGGGGCAGCATGTGTGAACGATACCTGTGTTTGTATTAATGGCTGGGCCGGAGAAACTTGCACCAAAGGTAAGAAGATAAACGTTTTTTATCCACTCTTTGCTGATCTCTATTAAGTTTTCTTCTTTTACTCTCATAACAAACAAACAAGCCAAATAGGTGAAAGATGATACGATTCAGTAAATAACACAAGCACAGTCAGAGAAGAACTCCGAATGCTCTCAATAGGAATCGAACCTACGGCCTTGCGATTAGAACTTCGGATGCTCTACCACTGAGCTTCAGGAGACTCGTAGTCGGCTTGTCCGTGTGAGAAGTGGATGGGGGTGAAAAAGACGGGCAATATATTAGATAATCCATAGGCTGCTTTAACTGTTTTGGAGCCCAGCGATTCTTCAGGGCACAATTATATTTCAGTTTTCAACTTCTGCAATTATACAAGAGAACCATTAATCTATCATGCCCTTTATTTAGTAGTGGATTATTATTAAATTATTATTATTATTATTATTGTTGTTATTATTATTATTGTTATTTAGATTATTGTCTCGATTAATTTCTTTGTAAATTACCACTTGGCAGCTACCTGTATTCCATACTGTAAGAACGGGGGAGTCTGTGGAAGTCAACCGAATACATGTAATTGCCCACTTGGATATGACCCCAAAACCAACTGCGAGCAGTGTAAGTGAAATTTCCTTTTCAGATGTGGAATCGATGTTTACTTTATGTTATCTTAGATTTAGTACATTTAATTGAAAGCTACTCAAGGTAACATCCTCAGGAGAGTATTCCAAGCCCCCATTGTCCATAAAGGTATGGATCTTGAACAACCCAAATAAAAGTCTTCCTACAAAGTCTTCTTAGCAGGGTGCCTCAGCTGTTTTCCGTTCCATCGAACTATGTTCTAATTCTAAAACTATGGGTTGAACAAGGCACACAATTGTTTTTTCTTTTCCCTCGATGACAATGCACTTTCGTTTTTCCAAATAGCAAGGTGTAATCCTGATTGTGGCGTTGGCGGAATTTGTGCATTAAACGGCGCTGAGAGTAGACTAATGTGCTTGTGCAAGCAGGGATACTTCGGTGCCGCTTGCGACCAAGGTAAGCTACCTACACCTACCTAGTTACCAATACACCCCCTCGCTCAACTACCCTGGCCTCTTAGCTTCTATTCTTTTTTTTTTTATCTATTTCAATTTTGATTTTTCCTTCATTTCAACAATTTATGATAAAAAGTAGCGCGACTAAAACATGACGTTTCGGCAACGACGTGTCACCATTATCAAATGTAAATTATTGGTTCAGTTACGTTATATAAAGAAAGGAAAGTGTGAAACTAAACTAGAATAAAATGAGATAGAGTAGAACAAAAGAAAGTGCATAATTAAATGAGCAGTTTCGTTAAAATGACTGAGTCTTTTCGAGTGTTCAGAGTCGGTCTTTCTTTTTTTTTACTCGATCTCATTCCAATTCTAAGGTTAAATTACATTTTGCCGTTTATTAAAACAAAACTATACAAATATAAGTTTAAGAGAGGAAAGAGTAATTACAGCTTAAACAACAGATAGATAAATAGTTCAAGGTCAAACGAAGACAGTAATTAAAACTAAGAAAAGTAATACATGAAAAGTTTTCTTTTAAAATAGTTTTCTGGTAAGCTTCTCCCATATAGATATAAGAATATCATTCCAATAGTAGCACCCAATAACTGTTGGACAGAATCTCCTGATATTTATTCTGAAGAGACTAATTTCCTATATATCCACCCATTTACCTAGTTACTGCGCTATGTTTTACAACTTCCCTGATTTTTTTCGAGTCGTCTTTTGTTTAACTTCTTACAGTAAATCCGTGTGAGATGGACTTAGACGAAGGTGCAAGCTCGTACTTTCTAGCCGAAACTTTTACATTGAGTGACAGTAATAGTCTCGGCTGGAAGACAGATCCTGCAACCCAAAGAGCCTGTTTGAAATACCTTGAGGAAGTCAATAATCAGTGCCCTTCATTAAAGACATCATTCAACCAAACTGAATGCGAGAAATACTGCCGTAAGTTGAATGATTGCTTCCCTTATTACAAGGGGTGAAATGATCAATGATGCTATCTATCTTAAATCTTGGAACACACCATAGTCGACCATAATGTATTGCGCGTACGTACCTGAAAATCCCATCGGAAAAAAAGTGGTGTTGTATTTCCGTGTCCCACTAGTGCAACCTTCTAAAACAGCTAAGATTCCACCCCGAACATTTCAACTTCAGAATGTTTGATTTCTACCAAAAACTAAGCAGCAGAGCACTTGGCGACTAAACTGAACCATGTTAAGGTTCTTATCTGACAAGTATCGTAATTATTGCTGGAATATCGCGCATTTATATAGGCACTTATATAGGGTAGTTACGAAGGTTGTAAGTAATCGTTCCTTTCACATTTTGTTTTACAGTGCCTGCCGAAACGGATGATGTATGTAAAAAGATTTGGGATCCTGAGAGCTCGGGATATTCAAAAAGCAGTATTCCTCGTGGAAACCAGTCAGTTTACTACGACGCCGAGTCTAATACGTGCAAGAATTTCTTTACGCTTGGCTGCCTGGGAAATGCGAATAACTTTGGTAGTATGAACAGCTGTGAAGATAAATGCGTCCGTGAGTACTTCTACCCATGATTTCTCCCCTTTACATCTATGATCTTCGTTTGATAAAGTAATAAAATGACTTGGAAACTAATAACGCCTTTAGTAAAAGGAATGAGTTTATGTGGAATTCTTGTTTGTTTTATTTATTGAGAGGTTGGTCAGTTTGAATGACTCCGGTAACGGTAGAGACTGCAAATAAAGGCGTATTTTACTGCATCATATCGTTGTATTAAACTATACCCTTGTGCGATTGAAATTGTATGCTTTTTACCTTCATTTTCATCGTCTATTTTTTTTTTTTGCGCTAGATATTGCTGTTACAGCTTATTTGCCAAAGTGGTTGTTGCCTTCTTGTTTTTCTCCACTTTTTATGCTTCAGTTGTGCTTTAAAGTTCAGTGCTTGTGTTACCATAATTCATTATTTTCTTAACATATTCAATAATTTATCTTCACAGGCACTGCTTCGAGATTGCCATTCATAAACAGTAAGTTTATGTTTATTCTGTTTGAGTACTTTTCCTAAACATAATTTCTATCATTTTTCAGTGGGTAAACCATAAGCATTAATTCTTTAATTTGTTTTCAGTCTCAAATAACCAATAGAAGCTACCGTTCTTTACGAGTTTTAATTTTGTTACGCTCCTGTGCACCCGTTATTACCCAAAGCTGTTTTAAGTCCTTGCACTCTTGTTTCATTTGTCAAGTGCGAAGTTCTGATTGGCTGTGATCACCCAGATGATTATTTCCAGCTACGCAAACTTTTCCAACACGGCTACCTTTTACTTCATCGACAGCCGCGCATGGGAAAAAAATTTTAAGCCTTTCGTACCATTTTCGCTTTACCCCCATAAGACATATCGCTATCTCCTATTGCTCAGCGAGCCTCGGCATTATTTATTATAGAAGTTTTCGAGGCGTTTTTTTTTTTAACGGAATCCTTTATCTCTCATACGTTTCTCATCACCGAAGGTTCCCAGGTAACCCACCAATTTTCGCAGTCGTATTAAACAGATATGACTTGTGGAGTAATGTCTCCCATTATATCAAACGTTCGATTAACGCGCAAGGGTAAGCAAATCCTGTGTTTTCTTTTGGCTACACTCGTCAACTCTACTTACTGTAATCTACCCACCTCCATTTGTTGAAGATGGCTGACTAGAGACCACTTTCATAAATGGCTGCCGTATAAATATTCTTTTGTTTAAATTTAAATCAGCCCTTCTGGCCTCGCTTGAGATAATGTATTCTTTTGAGTTTTGTACTGGAGAACAAGGCCAAGAGGGCTAATTTAAATTTAAACAAAAGAATATTAGTCCGGCAGCCATTTAGGAAGGTGGTCTATTGATGTTTCTGTTTCGCGCTTTTGTGAGACGTCGATTACGTCTCAGTCTATGAAAACACGAAGAAACCTAAATAATACTTATGCTATCATGACATCACGCTTGGTTAATAAAAGAGATGTTTTTTTTTAATAGTTCTAATGATTTCTACTTTCATATCTTTTCAGCAACTGGAACTTGTTTTGTCACTGGCAGAGATCATTTCAACACATTTGATAACACACCCTACAGATTCTTTCAGGGAAATTGTTCACAAATGCTTGTCTTGGACAAAGAAAACCCCGAAGAGTTTAAGGTGGTCCTGAATGGGAACTCGGGTTGCGAAATGACTTATCCTTGTCAAAAATCCCTTGATTTGGTTTTGAATGGTGCGAAAGTATACCTTGGAGCTAAAACCAACACCACGTTTATTGTGAAAGTCAATGATAAACAGGTTAATCTTCCATATACAGATTCGTGGCCTTATGTGAAAAAGGTGGGTGCATTTGAAAAAAAAAATGATTGTGGTTGTTAATGGTGTTGTAGTGCAATGATGCTAATGTTTTTCGTTTTTCCCACCATGCATTTGGTCAACTCTAGTGTTGATCGAGATTGCTTGACATAGTACTGAATATGGAAACTGGAGTTTCCAGCTTGAGGGATTTCTGTTACAGCCAACTCTCTTTCCTACGTTGTTTACAGAAAGAGTTAGCTTGAAGTGATGGCCGCATTAGCAAAACGTTGCTTAGTCTTATATGCTTCAAGAAAGCATTCATAGAAATATTTTTTTTCTTTTACAGAGTGGTCGTTATGTTTTGGTGAAATCACAAGACCACATCAACATTCTATGGGACGGTGTACAAGATGTCATTATCAAAGTCCCTGATAGCTATAAGCAATCCAATGCACACAAGTTGGTGGGTCTGTGTGGTCTTTTTGACGCGAAAAGTGCGAACGACTTTACCGACATCGAAGGCAATCTAAAGGGGAAAGAGGATATCCAAGACTTCGCAGACAGCTTCAAACAAGACGTAAGTTGTCTTAGCAGCCAGAACAGGAAGCCCCCCAACAGAACATCCAGTGAAATACGCGAAATCGAGGAGAAGTGTAGTTTGATGGGGGACGTGTTTGGCCCTTTCGGGCCGTGCCATAATTCTACCGATTACCGTCCTTTTATGGGAGTGTGCATGTCGGACTTGTACGGAACCAGTAAGCAATTCTGGGACGAAGCGAAATGCGACTCGTTCGCGCTCTACGCCCGTGTTTGCGCGTGGTTCCACGGTACGTCAGTCAAAGGATGGAGGACACCGAATAGTTGTCGTAAGTATACAATCTTACCAGTCAGAATGAAAAGACTCCTTGAAATATTGGTGGCAAATGAAAACTATGGTGAAAGATGAATGGAGCTTAATTCAAACACTTATACGCTTTTTTGGAATGATAGTATGGTTGCTTGAGGGTGGTATCATCAACGGGTGAAAGAACTGTTTTTGCTGTCTGTGACATCAGACTAGACCACTGGGTTCAAACCATTGGCCGTACACAGTTCTTCCCGTAGATTAGTAATGGTGTAAGGCGAAAAACGGACGATAGGTTTTCGGAAATAACCAGACAATCATGATTATATTTTGGATTTTACGCCTGGAAATTATGAGGAGAAACAGTTGCGAGTGCAGCGCGAAGTGACGTGAGCTGGGACAGGGATACGTGTCAGAAGTTCGTGATTTTGTGTTCAGAAGAACGGCACCCCCCCGCCTTCCCCCCCCCCAAAAAAAAACTCTATGATCTGCGTAATTCTGCAAATGGGAATGCGATAGAAACGCAAAAGATTTTCTGAGCGCTCACTCGATAGTTATAGTAATATTTGGCGCCTTGTAACATGGAGTATATTCGCTTGCCAAGTTAGAAAACATAAGGCAGGCAAGGAGAAAACACTGAGGAATAAAGAGGCGAAGGATGAAAAGGTAAATCTGATAAAATAGCAGCGCCTGAAAAAAAGGCTAAATTTTTCCTGCCAAATTTTCTGAGAATTATTTGTTAAATTTAAGTTCATAACACCTTTGAAAGTTGTAAAAGCTAATTTCCTAATTCCTTGGTTTTTTTTTCACAGCAATCACGTGCCCAGCTGGATTCGTGTACAATGAATGTGGATCGTCTTGCCCATTGAATTGCCGGAATCTCAACAGCAAAAATGCCGGCTGTAACTCTCCTTGCACTGACGGATGTCATTGCCCCGAAGGAAAATGGCTGGACGGCAATGTTTGTGTTGAAAAAAGCAAGTGCTCCTGTTTGTATCGAAAGGTAGTTTACCCCAATGGCGCACAACGAGTGGAACCTTGTGAAACATGGTGAGTCTTCGCAAGGTGATAATTGGTAGCGGTTGTTATCAGGGTAAATTCGTTTGAATTTATCGTTCTTGTACTCTTAAATTGAGTGTGTGGCGTTCTTAGTTTTCTCTTACGGCAACTAACTTGTTTCAGCTGAGTATAAAGGCATGGACACCTCGTGATCATCGCTTATTGACCCATCATATTAGTTTACAATAAAACAATGAATAACGTTGAAGACACACTGTGATTGGCTACTCAAACTCCGAATACACCTCCGAGCACTCGAGAAGGATTTGCGCCCGAAAATATTGTAATCGTTGCAGGAATAAATGAGTTCAAAACATATTTTTCGTTCTATATGATCTCACTCTTGTAGTATATACTTAAGTAAGTATTCATCTAAGTGTCGGTGGTTAGCCAACTCCATTGTAGTGAATAGTTGTTAAATGGCGATCGATGAACATCGAACGTTTATCCAACACTATAGCTGGTAAAGAGAAGACATCTTTAACTGAACAAAAACGAAGAATAAACATAAAAAAGTTCACGAGTACCTGGAAAAAATTTGTTAAGTAGCGATCTGAAACGAATGTCATTTGGATAATGTTCACCCAGTCCTTTTTAATTTTTCAAATTGGTCTTGTTTTTCTCACAGAAGTTGTTTTCGGAAGTTATCCTCGTTTGTTACGAAGATGTTTTTTCCAAGGCTTGGATCCCATAATAACGATATGAGCGAAATTACTAGACTAAAGATAACCCGACTTTGGCTTATCGACAATGTTGAATTCCAAGCAATGTTGTATTGAAATAATTGCATCCTCATAACACCCAGTTTGGGCCTTCCAACTGACTCATAAAATTGATGAATTGAAACTGTCTATTTTTAGTACTTGTAACGGTGGAGAGTGGATGTGCTCAAAGAAGCCTTGTCCAGGTAAGTCATCGATTAATTGAGCTATTTTTCCCCGCTTTACTTATTCAAGCTTATTTCATACATCTGTATTAGAGCCTTTTCAAATAGCAGCTGAATATATAAACCGCTTGAAGGTAAACTACTTAGAAAATTCATACCATTGTGACTCCTAAAAGGACTCATGTAATTTGTAACCCATAAGTGTCATGTAGCAAAGTGCTGCTCCGTTAAAAAATATGATTATAGAGGTGACAAAATAATACCGTAATTTTCTAAATGATTGAATGAATACATAAGCCGATTGGAGAGAGTCTTTTTATTTTGGTCACGATTTTAGATCTGTATCTTGGGTCGTTAGATTTAGAAGCAGTTACCTATAGTCCGACAGGTTTTGTGAACACCAACGCACTTTGCTTTAATTTACAAGTACATTATATGCGAGGGAAAGCAGAAATGCAGCATACGTGGATAAAAGAATGAAAATTAACCTTCCATAAAGTTCCACTAGTTTAGCTGCAATGCCAGCTACTTGTAGTCTCCAATTCGAAACAAGCAAACAAACAAAGGAAAAACCTACCCCCCTCCCCCCCCCGAAAAAAAGACAAGAACATCAAAGGAAAAAGGACGTAAGTTTGCAGAAGGTGAACAAAAGTGCAGTCTACAAACTTGGGGTAAAATTTTTCTGATGCACAGATCCTCAAATGACTTCTTAATATTTAACTGATCGCGACTCCCAAGTTCAGAATTGTAGGCATGAATTGCAGCTTGCAGTTTTAGATTTAGCTGAGTAGCTAGGCACTTGCCGACCTTTATTTTAGGCCAAAATCAGCGTGTGGAGACCTCTTTTGCGTGGACTATTTTCGAGAGCGTTCCTTCCCCATTACATGATTTTGACAAATTATTTTATTGCCTCTTAGGAACTTGCTCCGTCATCGGTGACCCTCACGTCACCACTTTTGACGGCAAGACGTACACCATGCATTTGAAGGAATGCTCGTATGTGCTGTCAGAGCAGTGTCACATGCCTAATGGAGTAGGTCGGGGCTACTCCATCACTATTCGCAACAGAAACTGCACAGCAAATTACGCAAATTGTAAACGGGAATTGCTTGTGAATGTTACTGGCCAACCATTCTTAATTTTGGATGTCGATGATGCTACCAGGAAGCCGACTGCTTCCATCGAGACTCAAAGTGGCAGCGTGACGAGTGTCAAAACGGATTACTCCGCTGAGAAGATGGATGTCGAGTTTCTTGGTGACCGAAACATTTTTGTTCGTGTTGACCTAGGGGTAAGAATCGATGAGCTGGGCTTTACGAAACAAGCAAAAGTTTCAAACTTATCCAAATTGATTGAAGAGAATGAACGCGTCGCAGGTATTTCGTTTGGTTATGGATCCTGAGAGATCGATTCCTTGAGATATCTCTTTCCTTTTTGCTAAACTCTATCACGTGAGCCTTACCGGGGATAATACCATTTATTATTTCGCTTTCATGTGCAAATCTGGGCCATTGCCATCACAACTCCTAAATGTATACCATATTTTAAGGGAAAACAGAGATAATAAGGTTTGAAGAAAAAATGTCGTATTTTTTCCCTTTTCCTTCACTTATTCAATTTTATGTTTACCTTTAAGAATGGGGTGGCATTTTCTATTCACTGGACTGGTTATAACGTTTATTTTACCGTGAATTCGACGCTAAAAGACCAAACATGTGGTCTTTGTGGTACATTCAACGATATGAAAGAAGATGACTTCCACATGCGCAGTAATGACGACGTAGTTTCCATCGACGACTTCGCAAAGGAATGGCTGATCCCAGATCTCTCCGATGCAAAGTGCGAGACGGAAAGCGTGGTGAGCTCGATCAACTACTGCAACATTTATGGACAAAACAAACAGTGGACCCTTGATCAGTGTTTGAAACTAAAAGATACTTCGCTTCCTTTTGCTGCCTGTCACAGTGAGGTGAGTGTGTTGGAGTACTTTGAAAAGTGTGTGCAAGACGGATGTCGATGCAAGGGATGCCTGTGTGACGTCATAGCAGGGTATGCAAAGGCCTGTGCGGACAAGGGCATCGATTTGAACGGATGGAGGAACTTAGTTTCCAGCTGCGCGGCAGGTAGGTTTTAAACGATACATGTAACACGAAAGATAGAATTCTCGGTGTACTTCAAATACTCCAAAATTAATGGGAAAACTGCGTCATATTTTGTAAAACTTGAGGTTTAAAACAGGCTACGAAAACGCTCAAGAGACGACGAATAAACACCGTTTCCAGATACACAGGTAGACATGTGAACACAGTAGAATCCAAATTTATCAAACGCTGGTTTTCTATAAAGTTCCAATAATTACGACCAAAGCTGGATTTGCTTCTCTTACTCAAACACAGTTACTTTACTCTAGAATTTTCTAAAGCCTTTCGAGAAATTAAACCGCAATTGTGTTCTTTTTTAAGAGGTTAAAAAAAATTGGAATTCGTCTATACTTCCTTGTGATATATCGGATCGTGAGAAAAAAATCTCATTAAACACTTCTTTTAAGTATCTGAGTTCTTATTGTACCTTTGGCTACCTCTACATGTACTTTATCTCCTAAACAAAGAACCAAATGATATTCCAGATTTCCAGTGCAATGCAGACATGAAGCTTGAGCAATGTCACAGACATAACAATGGGTCATTAGCTTGTCCTCAGACCTGCGAGGATCTAAATCCCGACCAAGACGGAGATTGCAAGAGGTAATGTGATTTGTGCTTAGCTACTAACTGGTTTAACGGGGTTGGCAACTGAACACCTTGAAGTAACTTCTCAGCTGGATGAAAGAAATAAAATGATCTGCTACAGGACTTGCATTATGTCACTTTGTCCCTCGTCACACATGGACACAGTCGTGTTACACTCTTATTGTAAACTACTTTAACGTGAGCGACTTTTTTCCAGACGTGGCTGCGTAGAAGCTTGCTACTGTAAAGATAAGGACCAGGTTTTGAGAGGCAACAAATGCGTGCTAAAGGAGGACTGTCCTTGTTACTTTGAAGGGAAAGAGTATGAGAAGGGAGACACACGATTCGTTAGATGCAACACTTGGTACGTTTGATTTTTATTGTTTTGGTTTCAAGGGTAACGTTTTTTACGCCAATGAAGTCATCTGACCTTTTTCTTATGTCCAAGATTTGCGGCAAAGAAGTAGTAAGAGGGGAAGAGGGGTGTGGTCATCTCGTTACGTTCTCAGCATGACTTAGTTCGGACATAATCATTAGAATTTCAGTGTTGAAATTGTGAATCTGCAAATTTCACTGAAAAGCTCCGTTTACCGCACTCATCGTTTCCGAAGTTAGTGGTTTAATAAGATTCCTTTTCATGTGGGATATTCGTTTCCCCATTGGTTTTTGCACTGTACTCCATATCGAAATGTTCGGGTTGGGTTTTGGTCCAAGCAGGGTCATACCTTTTGTTCTTTTTTTTTTTTTAAGATACGACATCTCACCTTCATTCAGTCTTTTTTCACCCAGGAGTTTGAGGGCCTGAATAGGGGTCCTCATGTTGTCGGTTGTCGTTTAGAATTTCACCAATTTATCGGTAGTCGGTTAAAATCTTCGATCTTTGTTGGTTGTCGGTCATTCTCAGTTAATGACTTAAAATGCAAGTTAACTGATCAAATTTGTTACGTAATTCGCGGGCACGAGTTCTGGACCCTGTTCTGAAAATGAGCCTGCGCTCCCACCTGGTCATAGCGTAACTTTAATGACACAAAAATGCCATCAAAGGGGCTGCCCTCTAAGCCAGAGTGCTCTTCTATTTGAATACATATATCGCTAATGTCAGACCATGTCAGTGGTCGGTTACTATGTACTTGTCACCAATCAGTAAGTTTTTGTGGGGTTTTGTCGGTAGTTAGTTGTAGTTTCGCCCTTTGTCGCTGGTCCTTTCACCTCATCCAGACCATCGGGTGTGCATGGAAATGTCAGAGAAACTTGATGGGAATTTTGTGATTTGGAAGGCCACGGGTACCAGCGTAATGATGGACCAGCTTCCCATGAAAGGAGAGTAGACGTGTTGTTGCGCAGACACTGTAGAAGCAACTGAGGAAAAGCTGAAGTAGTAATGAATATGTAGGCTAAGATGTTAGGTCGTAATACTTGACTTGGAGTTTTTAATTTCTTTTTACCCTTAGCACTTGCAAAGGAGGCGGACAATGGGAGTGTACTAACGACGATTGTGATAGTAAGTGCAGTAAATGTGTAAAACATGTGGCCAGAAAGAAGTCAAGCCTTTTAAGTTCATCAGTTTAATCGAACACGCAGTGAGATTTCTTCAAACTGTAACTTTTGTCTCCATTACTATTTTAATTGCCTTTCTTACCTCGATCATGTTTCTTCTTCTCAATGCTATGGTGTTCAGAGCTTGATTTTGTTGTGAGTTGCGATTAAGTTGCGGTTAGCGGGTTTTGTTGCGGTTAGCGGGTTTTGTTGCGGTTAGCGAGTTTTGTTCAGTGTCGTGAATTAAAATGACGGATTGACTTCAAGTGAGTGGATCACTGGCTGAGTGCAGTCTGACTCACTGACTAAATGGATGAATAAGTGAAAGATTGATTGAATAAATGAATCAGAATGGATGATGGGTTGACGGACGGACGGACGGAGGGTATCTTGACAAATGAATGGAGAGGTGAGTGAATGAATTGATGCCGGAACGAATGGGTCGCTGGATGGAGATATAAACAGAAGGAAAAATAAATGAATGGATAAATGAATGAACGAATGAATGAATGAATGAATGAATGAATGAATGAATCAGTTAATTAGTTAATGGATCTATGGGTGCATAAGTGAGAGAGTATATGGATAGATATATAGATGAATGAGTAAACAGAGAGAACAGTGGGAACTCAAAACTGGAACCAAAAGGAAACGGTGACAATTAGGTCGGGTTATTTTAAGCTGCATTTTTTACATTTAAAGTATTTTACAAGTTTTTGTGTTTCGATTCCAATTTGAACAATCACGTTTGTTTTTCAATTTTTCTCTGTAGAAATGTGCGCCAGTGATGGAAAGGTGTACTCAGACTGTGGCCTCACTTGCGACAACTACCTGATGAGTGACATCTCACGACAGTCCCGGTGTAAGCGGGGATGTTTCTGTCCTGGTGATCAACTGCTCCTTGAAAACGGAACTTGCGTGGAAAAGAATCAGTGTGGCTGTAAACACAACAATAAGATTTATCAGAAGGGTGAAGCTAACCCAGTTGATTGCTCAAAGTACGTGTACTATTAATGCAAAAATGTAACACGGTATGAAGTGTTTTAAGCGTTCTCAATTTAAGTTTGTTTAACTTGTATCATAGGTAGTTTGCTCTGTCTTGCATTGTTCATCTTATCAAAAAATGGATTAAAAATAGAAAAAAAGAGTATTTATTAGGAATTCATGCCGAGGGGAGGAGGCATCTTAAATAAGGTTATGCAGCCAACGTTGTACACTCAAAAAATCGCCTTTTCATCTCGTATTATTTGCAAGTTCGGCATTTCCACCAGTATCAAAAGATTGATCAAAAACAATTACGATATTTTAAATTTTTTTGATGGCTTTTTATTGAATATCATCGCTAAAGATATGATTGGTTATTATGCACGCTACCGGTAAACTATTTTTGGCCCCAATCCGACTCTGCAACTGCTCCGTTGTGATGCTTGTGTTTTGTTGTGTTATGTATCCCACTATGAAGATGCTATCACCTTACCTTATGTCTATTTAATCATCCTTTAACAACCTAGAGAAATAGATATCACGGATCACGATGGACCTTTTCAAATGCTGCCAAATTATTGTGTACTTATTTACCGTTAGCCTGAATAACAAGACTATTAATGTTAATTTCTTGATTTTTTTATTATCCCTCTAGAACTTGCAACGGCGCTCGTGAGTGGATCTCCGACAACGCGACCAATCCTTCGCCGGAATTCGAGTGCGCTGCCACGGGTCAGGATCATTATCGATCATTTGATGGCAGATGGATCAAGTTTCATCAGGAGAGTTGTAAGTTAACCATGATGAAAGAAGATACAGTCGAAATCTCTGTCAAGAACGAGCCTTGCAGGTATGGTCTGAGTTTCTCATCAAATTTTTGCCTTTCGGCTCTCATTGGCTCTTTGTGATATCTTTTCCCTTTTTTTAAAAGTTTTGAATGCGGTTATGCAGTTAATGACTTGTTGCTATCTGCTGGAGTGTGGAAAAAAATTGGTGTAAAGTCCCTTCGTAACCTGGAAATTTTTATACTAGGTTTATATCAAATTTCGGTCGGCAAGCGCATTCACGGTTCTGGGCATGCGTTGTACCTTATGAAAGAAGTATATGCGCACATCGTTAGCTTTGCTGTTGTGGTGTTTTTTTTCCTTTTTTTTTTCTTGGGCGTGGTGGAGGGGGGTGGGCGAAGCTAAGTATGTTGTCGAGATGAGTGAGTGAGTGTAACAACGGAATTCCGATGTTGACCCAATTGTTGATGTAGAAGCGAAAGGCTCAGGCTACCACACTAAGAAACATTTCTAAAATCAGATTAGAGCCTGGACCAATTTTCAATCTTATTACATCCATTTTGAAATCACTGGTGGTCCCTAAAATTTCACTGGCTCTAATAGTCCATTTTACAGTTGTGTGCTTGGTTGCCAAGCCTTTGAATGGGAGTGAGGCTGAGGGTGACCTTGTTATGATACAAGCCTTGCTTCCTTTCAAATGTAAATCACTTTGTTATCATGCTAACTAGATACAGGTCTCTATCATGACAAGGTCACCTTCAGCCTCACTCCAAATCAAAGGCTTGGCAACTAAGTACACAACTGTAAAATGGCCTATT